TTATATTACCGATCTCACGGTAACTATAAGAAAAAAAATTGTTTACTTTATTAATTACAATATTTATCTACTCGTGTTTAATGTTATGTATACATTTACAATACTAAGCAAATGAGAAAAATATAGATAAACCTGAAGACTTAAGTGTACTGGGCATACATTGTTGTGAATATATATATATATATATATATAGATATATATATATATATATATATATCTATATATATATATATATATATAAAGAATTAAAAAAAACAAAACCAATGAAAAATGTTTTTGTTATCTGGGCACAAACATGTAATTTAAATGAATACAGATGTTGCCTTTTCACTGACCCTTTTTTTTGTTATCGAAATGTGACATTACATGATTCTACCATAAGAAAGAAAAAATATCAAGCTACTAATCTCAGTGCATCATCATAAATAACTGTATAGTTACAAACACTAATACTGACATTATCAAAGCCACTGACAACATTCTTGACATAGACAAGTACTGTATATTGCTATATTAAATCTAAGGTGGGAAGGCAAAGTTGGACCATGGGGTTAAAGGGACACTGTAGTCACCACTATAATCGCTTCATCTTAATGAAGTGATTATAGTGCCTAGATTCCCATGGCACCATCCTTTTATTTTACATTAAACAGTATTTAATGTTTTAATGCTAAACGACAGTCCTCTGCAGTCCATCCCCTATGTGGTGTATGTATTGAGGAAGCATTACTCCGATCAGCAATGGGCAGCTGTGATTGGTTGTGAGTTTTAGCTGACTACTTACCAGCACCCATCTGTGGTATGATTTGGTATGGCTAGTAGAAAGTGTGCAATGAGTGTGGGTGGCCATCAGACATGTATTAAGATGTTCATCTACTGGATGGAGGGATAGTGCCAGACTACTCCAGACACAATAACCAGTTCAATAAGATAAAATGTGTATTGTGTTTGCCATGTCCCTTTAAGTAGTCAAAATATCAGAAAACAAAATTGAAGCCTGCTGCCAGGGAAAGCATATGTTTGAGCCTCCGGGTTTGTACAGGGCTTATTCTAGCTCAGATTCCTACTTAAAACATGCAAGAACAAGCAGACCAGCAATAAACAAAGGACATACTCAGACAGGACAAAGGTCACAAACATTTTGTATTGAATAATGATCTAACGGCTACATACTGCAAGTAGCTTGAAAGAAAAGATCAAGTAATACTGAAACGTGGGATATGAAGGCATCAAAAATGATGGACAAAAAGAAAGCAACAAGAGGTAGTTATTGACAATGAGTAATTGGAAACATAAGCATAGCAGTTGTAAAGGAGTCAGTTTATTCAATGTAAGAAACCAAAATTAAGAATCAGAATGAAAAATGGCTAGATGAGGGTGTAGGATTTAACTTAAACTATCTGGGAAAGAGAAATGAAAGACTGAGCTTACATACATAGATAATTAAGAATACATAGTGAGGGTGTTAAAATGCTTGAAAACACTTTTCAAATTATTTATCTACATAAGTCATTAAAGTCTATTGGAACATATGGACAAATTCAGGTGAAAAAGGTTGAATTCCAAATGCATCGGCAATTTGCACATTTACTAAAGACAAATACAATCAGAATTCAATCAGTCAAACCAATTCTGTAAAATTTGTTTGGAAGCATTTGGAATACCAGTAACATCTGTATCCGAACCAATTTAAAGCACAGGAGTTGAAGATTTATCAAAGACCACATGGTGGCCTAAAGTGAACCGAATGCATCTGGTAGGATGCATGGTCGCAAATGATCATTTACTTGCTTTTTACAAGTGAATGATAATTTGAAGTACTACTTGCTGCACTAATAGCCAGCGGGCAAATAGTAAACCCCTTAAGGACTGAGCCAAATGTACACGTTGTGATCAAAACAAAACGTAAACAAAAACTTGAATTTGCGCTATATGTCTGTTCAGGCGTAATTCTCCTCTTTCATATTATGTGCATCCACACTTATTATATATAATTTTATTCAGGGGAAACAGGGCTTTCATTTAACATAAAATATTTAGGTATGAAACATAATTTAATATGAATAAAATATAAAAAAAAAATGGGAGAAAATAAGAATTAAAATTTTTTTTTAGTTCTACGTGACATTTTAACTGTGATTGTCATAATACTGTTTGCTTTTACTGCAATAAAATACACATATTTGTATTCAGCGATGTCTCACGTGTAAAACAGTACCCCCTACCTATGTACAGGTTTTATGGTGTTTTGGGAAGTTACAGGGTCAAATATAGCATGTTACATTTTTCAGTTTTTTCAGATTGAAATTTGCCAGATTGGTTACATTGCTTTTGAGACCGCATGGTAACCCAGGAATGAGAATTACCTCCATGATGGCATACCATTTGCAAAAGTAGACAACCCAAGGTATTGTAAATGGGGTATGTCGAGTCTTTTTTTAGTAGCCACTTGGTCACAAACACTAGCCAAAGTTAGTGTTAAGATTTGTTTGTGTGTGAAAAATGCAAAAAACTAATTTGAACGCCAATTTTGGCTAGTGTTTGTGACTAAGTGGCTACTAAAAAGAGACCATTTTTGCACACTGTTTGTATTTGTTACATTTCTTTTGTTAGTGTTAATATAAAATTCTGACTAACTGTGACAAAGCTAAGCACAAACAACATGCAACCCACATCATTTATGTCCTGTCATTTTATCATGCTGATACCTTTCCAAAATCTGTCTTCTGCTTAAGCCTCTTATCACTGCACTGTTTCAGTATTTGTCAATACAAAAATAAAGATCTTAAAAAAAAAAGTAGTAAAGTATAACAAATAAATCTAATTCCTTTCAAACCCCTATATTATTGTAATGGAGGTGTTTTTACCTCTATATGTCCCTCCTGACATCCATCTGCTAAATGTGTAACCCTAGCGACTGGGCAGCCATTATAGTTTGAGAAATAACGAGGGGGAATATATAGTCTCCAACCATAAATATTAATGGTGAGGACCTAGTGTACTCCCCACCCACTCCCATGGTTGATGAGTGGGGGGGCCTTAATGTTAATAAAAAGGACAGAGTTGTCAGTCCCCACCAATGGACAAAAGGGGTCCTTTAATATTAATAATAAAGGTGCCACCCTAGCTCTAAAACTTGGGCGGTGGTTGGGGGATCTAAATCATTGTAAAAGAGGGAGTGGACATAGCATTATTATTATAGGTGGCTAGGGGTCCCCAACACTCCATTAAAATAAATTAACGCCCCAACCTATTCTCCTCATAATAAAGCCCCAACCTACCCCCCCACCCTAATAATAATGATGAGGGGAGCAATAATTCTAAAACCTGTAAAAAAATATATATATTTACCATCAGAAGTTTTCTTTCTTCAAATTCTTGTGTTCTTTAGCTGTGCATTAAAAGCCATAATAACTAGTGCTACTTATTAAAATAAGAAAAAGACCTGATTGCAAAAACAAAGTACAGCAAAAAATAAAAACAATTCATATTTTTCTAAAAAAAAGATTTATGTGGTGACTGGCTGACAAGTGCTGCCACTTTTTATTTTTATTAACTACTTTCCCATTGGCTGCTAGTTCGAATAATTTGACTTTTATTTAAATCCGTGTTTAAATTTAAAGCCTCCGGGTCCAGATTTAATTCATGCGGTCGGAATTTAAGATGTCCAGCAGCATTCGGTTTGGCTGGAACACGGTGCAAATCCAAGTCTGTTTGGGCCTGATTTACACCATCCAGATATTGTTGAATTTTAATTAATGAATGAATAACTGGCTGTGAGGGTGATGTGGTTGTAACATCTGTCACTCCATTGATCTTTTATTTCCCTATAGTTGGATTGACACACCATGACAGACAGACACACCATGACACAGACAGACACACACACACCATGACTGAGACACACACATACCATGACAGACACACCTTAAAAAAGACACACACACACACCTTGACACACACACCATAACACAGACTGTGACACACACACACACACGACACAGACAGACACACCATGACACACACCATGACACAGAGAGATCGTGACACAGACACACACACACCGTGACACAGACAGACACACATTACATGACACAGACAGACACACACCATGACAAACACACACACCATGACAAACACACACACACCATGACACAGACAGACCGTGACACAGACAGACGCACACACCATGACAGTCAGAGACACACACACCATGACACAGACACACATTGCATGACACAGACAGACACACACACACCATGACACAGACGCACACACCATGACAGACAGAGACACACACCATGACACAGATGCACACACCATGACAGACATAGACACACAGACACACACAATTACACAGACAGACACACCATGACACAGACAGACACACCATGACACAGACACACACCATGACACAGACAGACACACACACAAATGACACAGACACACACACATACACTCACACTGACACACACAATGTCTACCTGGGGCTGTGGGGAGCTCTGATGGCGGCCGCATGGGGGAGCTGGCTGTTCTGGCGGTCGCAGAGAGAGCTCCCTTGGCGGCCGCAGGGGGAGCTGGCTGTTTTGTCTCTGCTCCCCTTCCCCAGCGCGCCACTTAATGAGACCGGGGCCGGAATATGACGTCATATTCCGGCCTCAGTCTCTTTCTCACACGCTGGGGAGGGGGAGCAGAGACAAAACAGCCAGCTCCCCCTGCGGCCGCCAACGGAGCTCTCTCTGCGGCCGAAGGTCAGCCAGCTGCCTGCCCAGCCCCAGGTGCCGACGGCCCACCGGGAAATTTCCCGGTATCCCGGTGGGCCAGTCCGGCCCTGGCAGCATGGTGAGAATGCCAAAAGCGCGCACAGATGGCCTGCACTTTCTGCAGCAGCTCTGATATATCTGGGTATACACCGTGGCAGTGTAGGTGGAAGCGGTGGCAATGGAGGAGGAGGTAGCCAAAATATTGGGACATATAAAAAAAGAAAAAAAAGAATAAGTGCACTTGAGTATAACCATGGATGGGTGAGGCCGGTACAAATGTCTATTCTGTACAAGGTACAGACAAGTCTGGTGGGATCCATGCCTGGTTCATTTTAATAAACATGAGCTTGTCCACGTTGGCCGTGGACAGGTGGCTGCGCTTGTCTTTGATAACCTCGTGCCGATTGCATGTCCCCGTGACGGCCTCAACGCATTCGGATGTCTGCCCTATCAACTTTCGATGCAATTTTCTGCACGTACCATGGTGACCATGGGTAACGGGGAATCAGGGTTCAATTCCAGAGAGGGAGCCTAAGAAACGGCAGCAGGCGCACAAATTACACACTCCCGGCGCGGGGAGGTAGTGACGACAAATAACAATACACTACTCTTTCGAGGCCCTGTAATTGTAATGAGTCCACTTTAAATCCTTTAATTTGGATCAATTGGAGGGCAAGTCTGGTGCAGAATGACTGACCCGTGCGTGCTGCAGCTGAAACTCCACTATCGCCTGCTGCTGCTCGCTGAAGCTGCATCAGGGTCCTGGTATGTGGCCGCACAAACGCTGGTGCTCAGCACCATGGGGTGTGCGGTTACCCTGCACCAGACCCTGCTAATCCATTCCACACTGTGACTCCTAACTTCAACATTAGGCATACTGGGTCCCGGTCTTCCCACTGCCGCCCAGACAGTGTCTGGGTCCCGGTCACCGGACTGCCCCCCTGACTGTGAAACTGCGAATGGCTCTTTAAATCTGTTATGGTTCCTTTTATCGCTCCATCTGTTACTTGGATAACTGTGTGAATTGTAAAGATAATACATGCCGACGAGCGCTAGGGGACGGCCGCTCCGCTTTTGCACCCTACTCCCTCTTATGCTGTGCTGGTGCCTCTGTGCGACCAGTGCCTCTTCCTCCAAACTGCACACGTCACTTGTATGACCTTCATTTCACGTTGTTTTGGTGTTTGGTTTTTAACTTTGTAGTTGTGTCTTTACACAATATAGAAATGTATATTAATGCTTCTGTATATGAAGCTATTACAATAACACTTATTTTTCACTTTAGACTTTCAACTAGCCAGTGTTGCACATATACACCAGATATGAAGTGCAGGCACCAAATTAGCTTTTTAGCATCTAAAGAATTTGAATGTTTAAAAATGTGCTGTAAGCACAGTATTTGACGGTTCTATTTGACTCTCAGATATGAAGTGCAGGCCGCAAATGTAATAATTAGCAGCAAAAAAATTTGAATGTTTAAAACTGCAATGTCACAGCAATATTTGACGGTTCTATTTGACTCTCAGAGATGAAATGTGCATGCCCCAAATTTACTTTTTAGCACCTAAAGAATTTGAATGTTTAAAAATGCGCTGTAAGCACAGTATTTGAGGGTTCTTTTTGACTCTCAGATATGAACTGCAGGCACCAAATTTATTTTTTAGCATCTAAAGAATTTGAATGTTTAAAAATGCGCTATAAGCACAGTATTTGACGGTTCTTTTTGATTCTCAGATATGAACTGCAGGCACCAAATTTACTTTTTAGCATCTAAAGAATTTGAATGTTTAAAAATGCGCTGTAAGCACAGTATTTGACGATTCTATTTGACTCTCAGATATGAACTGCAGGCACCAAATTTACTTTTTAGCACCTAAAGAATTCGAATGTTTAAAGGACCACTATAGTGCCAGGAAAACATACTCGTTTTCCTGGTACTATAGTCCCCTGAGGGTGCCCCCACCCTCAGGGTCCCTCTCCCGCCAGGCTCTGGGGAGAGGAAGGGGTTAAAATCTTACCTTTCTCCAGCGCCGGGCGGGGAGCTCTCCTCCTCCTCTCCTCCTTCATAGCGACGTCATCGGCTGAATGCGCATGAGCGGCAGGAGCCGTGCGCGCATTCAGCCAGTTTATAGGAAAGCATTTAAAATGCTTTCCTATGGACGCTGGCGTCTTCTCACTGTGATTTTCACAGTGAGAAGCACGCAAGCGCCTCTAGCGGCTGTCAATGAGACTGCTATGTTTATTAAAAAAAAGGGTTAACCCTAGCTGGACCCAGACCACTTCATTAAGCGGAAGTGATCTGGGTGCCTATAGTGGTCCTTTAAAAATGCACTGTAAGCACAGTATTTGACGGTTCTTTTTGACTCTCAGATATGAACTGTAGGCACCAAATTGACTTTTTAGCACCTAAAGAATTTTAATGTTTAAAAATGCACTGTAAGCACAGTATTTGACGGTTATATTTGACTCTGAGATATGAACTGCAGGCACCAAATTGACCTTTTAGCACCTAGAGAATTTGAATGTTTAAAACTGCTATACTGTATAAGCACAGTATTTGACGGTTCTATTTGACTCTCAGATATGAAGTGCACCGCAGGCCGAAAATGTACTATTTAGCACCAAAAAGTTTGATTTTTTAAACCAACAATGTAACAGTAGTATTTAAGGGTTTTATTGGACTGCAAGAAATGCAGTACGCAAATGTAATATTTAGCACCCAAAAAATTGCTGTATTTAAAAATGCCTAGATGTTGCCCACTGAGCTACCAGAATAGGATTAAAGTAATGTGCCTGGCACACATGCAGTTGCAAGTGCACTGCACTCTGTGGCACTGGGCTCAGGGCAGGGTACAAAAATGTAGTATTATAGCACCCACAAAAATAATCTCTGTAGTTTGAATAATCGCTGTAGTTTGCAGATTCAACACCAGAATTCTTTCCTAATCTGTCCCTCACAGCTGCAGCATCCTCTCTCTACACTAATAAGAGCTCATGTGCGTGTGGCGCTATGCGATTCCAGCTTATATATAGAGCCTGGGTCACATGCTGCACTGGCCAACTAATGGCATGGCTGTGATGGCTTCTAAGGGCACACGAGTCAAACGCCTGTTGATTGGCTGCCCTGCAGCCTTTCAAAACGCGCCATTAAATCACCGAACACCGAACTCCAACCCGAACATACACTGATATATCCGTGTTCGGGTCCGGGGTCCAAAAAAAACTAATGTTCGGTACGAACCCGAACTTTACAGTCCGGGTTCACTCAACTCTATTTGCAGGATATCTTAAATGTATTTTTCTCCATTCTCACCATTAGGGTACATGTTTAAAGCATCCGTGTACGTGTATGTTTATGAAATTATTTATGTAATTATGTATATGGACATATGAATATTTTGTATTATTTTGATTTATTTATATATACATAGATATATATCTATAATTTCATTCTAAGTGTATTTTGATATATATATATATATATATATATATATATATGGAACAGGGTAGCCTCTGGGCAAGAAGCCCCGGCTACAGAGGTGGGAGTCTCCCCTAATAAGGTATGTACTTAAAAAAAAACTTTTATTATACTAGATAAAAAAATCTAAAGTACTAGATATAAGAAAATAGGGAAAATGTGAAAAAGAAACTGAACCAATATAAGAGAAAATTGCCCATGCAAGTATTAGATAGTATGTAATTGTGTGTACAACTACCCAACTGTGAGGGCAAATTGTCATAATACCAGCGAGAGTAGGTTGCTAAATAAAGAAAGAGGACATAAAGTCCTTAGGCTGCTGAAACCTGAGAAACTCTATAAAGGGGGTCAGATGTCTAAGGTGCAATGACCACTATATACCACTAGGTATGCAAGCTAGAATCTATAGTTGTAATAGGTCAGATGAATTTTTTTACTTTTTTATTATGTTTACATTTTTTTATTCATTTTTGATTAATTATTATTTATTTTTTATTATAATATATACATATATACATATAGTTATTATATATATATTATATATATTATATATACGTGTGTAATTTTACTCTAAATGCATTTTTATATTAATACAGTATGGCGTTATATATAAGATATATATTTATATACATATTATATATAGATATATTATATGTGTGTGTGTGTATATATATATTTTTTTTTTAGTTTATGAAACTTTATTTGTTTATTTTAAAATATTCTGTTTAATTTTTTTTCACCAGCAGGGGGATTGCCTGTCAGTTCAGGCAGTTCGTCTGCAGGCAACACTATGGGCGCCTATTGCGGCCATGTGACCGCTCTTTCAGAGAGATCACATGGCCCATGGGGTCCTATTTAGTCGAGGGGGGACTGTCTGGGCTGTCAGATCGCCGGCGGGGGAACGGCGGCGATCGGGTAAGTGAATGGGAAGGAGGGAGAGGGAGGGAAGGGGGGTGGTTAATATTAATGAAAAATATATATATATATACTTTTAATCTTCATTGAGTTTTTAATGTTTAAATGCTAAATTAAAGTCCCCAGCAGCCTTTCCCTCTGTGCTGCTTGGGTTAATAAGGGAGTTTTAGACGGAGCAGCAATGGGAGGCTGTGATTGGCACAATGTCACATGACCGTTTTCAGCCTATTACAGTGCCCATTTCAGGTATGAATCAGTATGCAAAAAGGAAGTGTATAATCTCTGCCTCAGCCATACCTCCAATGGGGGCTGGGCTGTGGTTGGCCAGACACCTTCATTCATTGTTAAACTGCCTGAAAATGGTTTCACACAGAATGGAGGGACTGCGCCAGAGGACTCCAGACACTATAATCAATTTAATAAGATGAAATGGCTGTAGTGACAGCAGTGTCCCTTTAAATAAATGTTTGTTGGGATATCCAATTCAAACTTAATGAATGAAGTTGAATTGCTTGGAAAGAAAATGGGATATATGGTTGCAAGTGCTCCAAATGTACAAAAAAAGGAGGCTATGATGGTATGATGGTCCTTTAAATTTATGCTTGCACCATTGCAATATTTTACACTGCACAATATCAACATTTCTGGATATTTTAAAGTGACACTTTCACCATCTGGGTACTTTGCAGAATTTGCAAAGACCCCCGACAGTGGCATCACTGATGTGGTTCAGGAGGACGGGGGAAGGCAGGCAAACGAGTTCTAGTTAATTGAATCTGTCTATCGCAAGGACAGAGAGGGGTAGGGGTGACAGTGGTGCTTCACTTCTTTTATTGGAAATATTATTTGATTTGATCAACGAATGATGTTATTGTAGAACAAATAAAAAATACCTTACTTGTCAAACAATTATTGAAAAACAATGATTTTTACCTAGCTGAAAAGAGACATAAGTCCATCAAGTTCAGCCTTTCTCACATATGCCTCTGCTGTTGATCAAAAAGAAGGCAAAACACCAAGTTTGAAGCACTTCCAAATTTGCAACAAAATAGGAAAAAAATGCCTTCTTGAGCCCAGAAAGGCAGTCAGATCTCTCCTTAGATCAAGAAGCTATTACCCTTCAGATTAAAAATTACATCAGTGAATCCTATGTTTTTGCAAGTATTCATTCAGTTGCTGTTTAAACATCTTTACAGACTCTGATACAAGTACCTTTTCAGGCAGATAATTCCACATCCTTAGTGTTCTTACTGTGAAAACACCTTTCCTTTGCCTTAGACTAAACCTCCTTTCTTCCAGTATACATGCATGACCTTGTGTCCTATGTATAGT